TGCTCAAGCAAACGGGAAATTTCATCAGGAATCTCTTCACTATCCTCTTCTTCGGCTCTGAACACAGGGAATTCAAAGTTGGGAGAGGGCATAGGATCATTGTTTTCAATGGTTAAGTCATGGATTAATCTGCACATATGATTATGCTTTATTTTGGAAATCGATTAATATGAATGTTGTACAAATGAAACAAAATATTATTATATTTTCCTATTACTACCAATTAATTTTCATTACTATTTCCCAGAAAAAGTGAAAAATAAAACAGTAGTGGACAAAATAACATTTTTATTCATGAGGGGCAATACTTGAAACAAAGAGCCCAGACATTTTCTCTGCCTTGGGCAGAGCAAAAGGATTTATTTTCAACATAGCCCGACGCAAATACTTTTCGCCTTGGGCAGAGCGAAATTTTTTTTCAAAAATAAAACAAAACATTACTCAGAAATGTACATCACAACAGGAACATCAACAGCAATCCAGTTCTGGAAAACCACTCCATGCGTTACAAAATCGGGTAAATCCTCTTCAGAATCATCTCCTATTATAGCATCAACTTCAGGAGGAGTCGGATGGATAAAACCTACGCTTCGAAAAACTTCTTGTATCGGACGAGTAACTATTTCCTGCTTGACTCTTGTAGACACGGGATGAAAACCAAGACCTTCTCCAGACTTGTTCTCGGGCAAAGTCAACACCTGGCCCCACCCTTCAGCCGAACCACTTTCAACCACTCGTCGCGCATCCTCAAAAGAAGAAATAGATGTCCCTTGCTTCTTCACTTCATTATTAGCAACAAATAGAGCTTGGAATTGGGTTCCAACATCCTCATCAGCATCAATAAAAGAGAAAGATGACAAATGGCTTACCACCATAGCCTGCTCTCCACCAATCATTACCAGCTTTCCATGCCTTACAAACTTCAATCTTTGATGGAGTGTGGAAGTGACTGCCCCTGCATCATGGATCCATGGACGACCCAATAGGCAACTGTAGGCGGCACGAATATCCATTACTTGAAAAGTGATCTGAAAAGTATGAGGACCAATTATTATAGGAAGATCTACTTCACCAATGACAGTCTTCCTAGAACCATCAAACGCTTTGACAATTACCCCACTAGGTCTCATGGGAGCACCTTGATATGAGAGTCGAGATAATGTAGTTTTGGGCATTACATTTAACGACGAACCTGTATCTACCAACACACTTGATAAAGTATCATTTCCACAACTTATTGAGATATGCAAAGCCATATTATGGTTCCTTCCCTCCTCTGGAAGCTCTTCATCACTGAAACCAAGATTGTTACACGAAGTAATATTTCCCACAATTCCATAAAATTGGTCAACCGTCACAACATGATCCACGAATGCCTGGTCCAAGACCTTCATCAAAGCTTCTCTATGGGCACCAGAATCTCTCAGTAAAGCAAGCAAAGAAATCTTGGAAGGAGTTTGCAATAGTTGATCCACAATCTTATATTCACTTCTCTTGATGAGCTTCAGAATCTCATCATCATCGGGATGTGGGATAGGTTCATTCGATCGGCCTATCTCAACCCTTGGTTCAACATTTCTCGCTGGAATTTCTGTCGGTATGGGCCTCCTGACTTGAACTTCTGGTCTCTTCAAAGGTACTGCTGCAAAGACACGTCCGCTTCTCATAACTCTGCTCACATCAGCGATGTTAACAAAATATGGCATTGTTGGTATAGGGACTTCTACCCCATTCTCAATCATTGTGGCATTATACTTATACGGTATAGCTTGGTCTGAGTTGTAAGGCACAGGACCAGGTGGATAAATGATCAAAGGAGCAACAGGTGCAGTCTGACTGTCGTAAACGATCTCTATTGGTTCAGGCAAGTTGAATTGCGGTATTATAACATTCACTTCATTAACTGGATCTCTATCATGTGTAATAGTGATAACCCGCTGGTCTAACAATTTTTGAATATCCTCATTCACAATAGGGAAATCAACCTCTCTTGAACAAAATTCACAAACATCATATTCATGCTGATGCCTAAAAAAGCAAGTCTTCTTAAGCTCTGATGTAACCTGATCAACGAATCTCTTATGTGTTCAACTTGAAAAACTCGAAACTTTCCTGGACAACCTTCCACCATATTCACTGATGCTACCCCATGTCGAGGCAAAGGATTATCTCTAACATTTGGGTTAACATCCTTGAAAGACAAGATACCGTTCTTAATCAACCTCTGCACGTCCTCCTTTAAAGCAAAACAATTTTCAATGTTGTGCCCCGGCGACCCTTGATGATATTCACAAAACTGATCTTCCTTGTACCACGGAGAAGTACTATTTGGTGCGACAGGAGGAGGCTTCGTCGTTATGAGGTTTTTTCTGATCAGAGCAGGGAACAACTCAGTGTAAGTCATGGGAATGGCATCAAATTGCGGTTTCCTTGGTGAACGATTCTGGTTATTAAGTTGATAAGCCTGTTGTCGAGGCTGCTGCTGAAATGGCCGTTGCTGAGTTGGTGGGGTTTGATGAGTTGGGGTCACCATTGTTGGGCGGACAGCCGGAGTGACTACCGCAACATGTGAATAACCTCTCCTTGGTCTCCCAGGGAAAATTACATTGACATCTTGTTCTTTCCTTTTAGGGAAAACACTTCCAAACTTATTGATACTGCTAGACGGACTTCCTTCCTTAACCAAACGTCCCTCACGAATCCCTTCTTCCAACCGCATGCCCATACTTACCATCTCGGTGAAGTCACTGGGTCCGCTGGCAATCATTCTTTCATAATAAAAGGAACCTAAAGTCTTCAGGAATATCTTTGTCATTTCTTTCTCCTCAAAAGGGGGATAAATCTGAGCAGTAATCTCGCGCCACCTCTGGGAATATTCTTTAAAGGACTCTCTGTCTCTCTGGGACATCGCCCGGAGTTGATCTCTGTCCGGCGCCATGTCGACATTGTACTTATAATGGCGAACAAAAGCTTCACTAAGATCGTTGAAATTACGGATCCGAGTGCTGTCCAAACCCATATACCACTTTAGAGCGGCACCAGTCAAACTATCTTGAAAGTAGTGAATTAATAAGTTATGATCATCAGAATATGTAGACATCTTTCTGTAGCGGTGAAAATCGGAGATCAAGCTATTAATTAACTTGACTCGCAAAAGCAAGAGTCGCCACCGCACTTTATTATTTCCAAGGGAAAAGGGAAAAGAGCGAAATAAAACCCTAAAATATGCAATGTATAATAATACTTAAAAGTAATAAAAATACAATACGTTTTTGAAAGAGATCGAGAGTTCGGGGGTTGGTTATACAATGGGAAGGTATTAGCACCCAATGCATCTGCGGTACTCCGCAGGAACCTTTTGAAATATCTGTTTTTGGTTAAAATTGTTTGTTTGATAAAAATGGTTCGTTTGGCTAAAAAATAGGTATGGACGAGATTTTGAAGATGCGACGACCTAGTGTCGAAGTTTTGACTTAAAAAGGTGTGAGTTTGAAAATTGAGTCTTTTGGGAAAATTATCTTGAGTTTGGAAAAAATAGTAAACAAGCAAAAAATGAATGAGGTTCGCGCAATCATGTGAGATATGTTCGATGACATGAAGTCAACAAATTTAATTCTTTCCCTTGGAGTAAATCGAACAAGTAAAATAAGATGAATCAACAAAGTATAAGCATTCGAAAATTCACAAGGAAACAAATCTAATGAAACAGATTAATGATCAAAGGCATCGAGAAATTAAAATGACAAAGATATTTAAATAAAAGAAAATGGAACTAATTATCTAAGTCAAAATTCTAAGATTACTTACTAAAATAGTTCTAAACTAATTATAAATTCTAAAGTTATAAAAATAATTCTAAAATTACTACACTAGATCTAAACTAAATTAAAATTTTAATATTAGCAAATTAAATCTAAACTAAATTAAATCCTAAGTTTACTAAATTCAATCTAAAACAAATGAAAATTTCAAAATTACTAAACTAAATCTAAATCAAATAAAATTCTAAAACTAATAAACTAAACTTAAATCAAATAAAAACTCTAAAGTTATTAAACTAAATAAAAATTATAAACTTATTAGATTAATTCTAAATCAAATAAAAATTATAAATTTATTAAACTAATTCTAAATCAAATAAAAATTCTAAAGTCACTAAATTAAAACTAAACAAATAAAATTCTAAAATTAACTAAATAAAATCAAATAAAATTCTAAAGTTATTAAACTAAACTAAAACAAATAAAAATTCTAAAATTTACTAAATGAAATAAATTCTAAAGTTATAAAATAAATCTAAACTAATTAAAAAAAAATCTAAATTAATACTAAACTAAATTTAAATATAAGATTTACTAATATTTTTTTTATTTTTTCAAAAAAAAAAAAACCAAACATATAGTAAATGTCATTAAAATGGATAAAAGATAACACCAACAAAAGCTGTGAGAAAAATACCTAATATCAGTTTCAATCCAATATGTGGTATACAAACCATAATACTAGCCCCTTGAGAACCCTTGCAATTGAACCATCACTGAGTTTATGAGCTTGATTCCCTCATCATCACCTGCAGCTGCTAACATGCTTCCTTTCTTGTTAAATGCTAGAGAACGTATCGGAAGCGTGAACCTTGTAATATTTGTCTCAAACTCCCCACCGGGAAACTTGTAGAGCTTAACGGAATGGTCGACAGATCCAGAAACAAGGCAGGTAGAATTTGGGCTAAGAGCCAAAGCAGTGACGCCGTCACGGTGGTGACGGAGGATCTTGGGTGCGGCGGAGGGAAGAAGAGGGTTGTGAATGGAGAGAGAGGCGTCGGAAGAGGAGGCGGTGAGTTCGATGGGGAGTACGGTAGCGTGTTGTTGTTCTTGTGCGTAGAAGAGAAATGTGATGATGATGCACATGAATGCCCCAGAAGGCAACAAGCAACTGGTGAAAAGCCAATGCATCAACGATAGTACATAAGCTGCTGTCTTGACGAATTACCAGTAGATCCATCATACATGGCTTGAGATGCAGTTGTTCATAGGAACGAGACCAAAAGCTAGTAGCGCATAGACTCTATGATTTCTATTAAGACGCTCTCGCTTTTCCGTATAATACCACAGCGTGCTGCCAACAATTTCAAACAAGTTGTCAACCTCAATGGTACGAACAACACCATATATTTCAGGAATCTTTTTTTTCAAGCAAAGTTGCTTGCAGAGGCCATTTTCAATAACAACATCATTCCAAGAACTAGACACAGCAGATGCACGAACAAGATCACGAGAATTGTCCAAATAGGAGAAAACTTTAATTGACATGTCATGCCCAAGCCATTGGATTAAATCCAAATTGGTTTTCACTTTAGACATTTTCTCAAGTATAAGATCCTGAAATCAAATAAATCAGATTCCATTATGCAGTAGTCAATTTTTTATTCTCTCCCGTCGCTGATTCTTTCTTCTGCCGAATTCCTCTTTCTGTGTTCGTTTGAAGAGATGGGTTGCAAGTAGATGAATGGGAACATATTGAGTAGACAGAGGGAAATTGGTGCGGTAAATAGGATGTTGGTGAGGAGGGATTTGAAAAGAGGAACAGGGGAAGTGACCGGACAGCTAGCGGAGATGAGATAAGTGAGGTGAGGGAGATGGTTTTGTGTTGAAGATGAAGTGAGATTCAGTTTACCGTGGAGGGAGTATGTACATGGAAAAGGGAGTATACAGGCGGGTTGTGTGTTTGCGAAGCTGGACAGTAGGTGGGTAAGGGATCGAAGGGAGATTGGTGATAGCTGGTGGAATGGGTTTTCTGTTTTTTTGGTTTTGTGTTGTCTTTTGTTTTTACCCCCCCAAGTGATGTTGATGATGGTGAGTGGGTAATAGATGAAAGGGTGTATGGTGGTGTGATCCTCAATTTCATCAAAGAGCCAATAGGAATATAGCATTGTGTGTATCGATCCTCAATCTCATCCAACAGCCAATAGGAATAGAGTATAGTGTAACAATATATTTTTGTGACCAAATAGTCCTTAAATGATAAAAATAACCAAAAAACTAAATGTATTAAAATTAACTCAATTTAAATGATTTTTTTTGAATGTTTTATGAATAAAGAATAAAGACCCAAAATGACCGAAAATGATAAAACACAAACGAAAATTTATCCGAAAAAATAAAATGAACACATTAAAATAATCTACATGTCACAAAGATTAAAGAAAAAATATTCAAGAAGTCAAAAATCAAAATAAAATAATAATAAAAATATCAGACTCAACAGACGTTTAAGGTTAACAACAAGACTTCGAACTGTACCGAAAAAATAAAGCGAGCATACCGTCATAATCTACGCGAAGCGCAGATTCATAAAATGATCGGTAAAAGGTGAAAACTTGAAATATTTTCTCGCTACTTTCCCGCATAGTGTCGAATCGCTTTTAACAGTTTGTCTATAAAACCGAAATATTTTTATTATCGACGTATAAACAACTTGGAGCAATGCAAGAAAATGAATGAAATGAAATGTCGGGTATTTTACAACTGAAAGACGATACAAACTTTGATTTAAACTGACTTTTTTTGGTCAACTTAAATACGACTAATGATGCAAAATATGATGAATGAAGATATTTACTAATGATTGTGATCAAATAACAAAATATGATATAAAAGTGCGACTAAAACATATTAGGGGCGAAATTTAGGGTGCAACAGTGTGCCTTGATGAATCAGTCTTCGAGAATCCACAATCAACCGTACTTCTGGCTTGGGAAACTCAAAACCTTAATTGAGGCGCGACACCTGATGCTCTTGATTCAGACCTGTCTCTGCTCATGACACAAAAGAACATGAACATACACCTTTGTATGCGATTAGAAATTAGTGACACATATGCTAAAAATGTTCAAAACACTTGACAATCTTCGCATAGTCAAAGCTCGAAGGTGAGACGTTAAAATCGACCGTATTTAGTGACCTTGACTTTTGTATAAAAAATGAAAAAATGCAAGTGGGATCTTAGGTCAAAAATTGGGGTACAACAGCTGCCCCTATTTAAGTTTCTTCTATCTGGAGATATGAAGATTGTGATCTTCATTTCGACGAGATTGAAGGGACTTAAATATAGAATACACAATTTTTGGCCTTAAGATACCGCGATTATGTTCATGATATGATATGAATGTAATGCTCTGAATTTTATGGGGAATGACGCCATATAAGACAGACTATGCTGGAGAAACCAAGCACATTATACAGTAATCCCACAGAGGAAGGGGTTGTAACTCCACCAGGGAAACAGAGTCATAGACTTCAAACGAGAGACTCTTGAATGATTTACATCAGTATTGGGACTGGAAAAGGTAATGATTTACATCATTACGAAGACTGGAAAAAGAAATGATTTACATCAGCACTATGACTGAAAAAGCATATGATTGACATCAGTACTGTGACTGGAAAAGGAAATGATGGACATCAGTACTGAGACTGGAAAATGATTGACATCAGCACTGTGGCTGGAAAACAAAATGATTGACATCAGCACTGAGACTGGAAAATGATTGACATCAGCACTGTGGCTGGAGATAAACATCTCTGATTTCTGAATTTTACCAAGAACGATAACACATTTCTTCTCTAACCAAGATATCGCTTGAAAAGGATAAAATAACAAACTTCCCCACGGGACTTTTCCGAAAGGGATGCCATTTGCTGAGTAGACATTAATATTGGGGATACACAAGCTGCTCATGAAGAAGTTGCCACTTGCCGTTTTCAAGGGAACAATAACACGCAAGTTGCTCAAATAGATAAGCTGCCACTTGCTGTCTTCAAAACAAGTGCTATGACATACAAGCTGCTTAAATAAAGAAGCTGCCACTTGTTGTCTTCAAGGGAACAATAACACGCAAGTTGCTTAAATAGATAAGCTGCCACTTGCTGTCTTCAAAACAAGTGCTATGACATACAAGTTGCTTAAATAAAGAAGCTGCCACTTGCTTCCTTTCAAAGGTGTCAATAACATACAAGCTGCTCATGAAGAGACCGCCACTTGCTGTCTTCAAAGAATATTAAAGCACACAAGTTGCTCATGAAGAGTCCGCCACTTGTTGCCAAAAACCCACAAGCTGCTCATAAAGAAGCTGCCACTTGCCGTCTTCCAAAAATACTAACGTACAAGCTGCTCATGAAGAAGCTGCCACTTGCCGTTTTCAAAAAAGTGTTGATAACATACAAGTTGTCCATGAAGAGACTGCCGCTTGCTGTTTTTAAAAGTGTTCATAACATACAAGTTGTCCATGAAGAGACTGCCGCTTGCTGTTTCTTTTCAAAATTACCAATAACACACAAGTTGCTCATGAAGAGACCGCCGCTTGTTGTTTTCTTTTCAAAATTACCAATAACATACAAGTTGCTCATGAAGAGACCGCCGCTTGTTGTTCTCTTTTCAAAATTACCAATAACATACAAGTTGCTCATGAAGAGACCGCCGCTTGTTGTTTTCTTAAGGTATCAATAACACACAAGTTGTCTCATGAAGAAACTGCCGCTTGTTGTCTTTTCAAGGTATCAATAACACACAAGTTGTCTCATGAAGAAACTGCCGCTTGCTGTTTGTCAAGAGTATCCATAACACACAAGTTGTCTCATGAAGAAACTGCCGCTTGCTGTTTGTCAAGAGTATCCATAACACACAAGTTGTCTCATGAAGAAACTGCCGCTTGCTGTTTGTCAAGAGTATCCATAACACACAAGTTGTCTCATGAAGAAACTGCCGCTTGCTGTTTGTCAAGAGTATCCATAACACACAAGTTGTCTCATGAAGAAACTGCCGCTTGTTGTTTTCTCAAAGATACCCATAAAATATCATGAAGATATTACTGGAGGTGAGAGTCAATAATTTCACCGAGGATGGACAAACTGCTCATGAAGAGACCGCCATTTGTCAAAAAGAAATCAGAAATAATCAAACTGCTTAAATAAAGAGTCAGTCGCTTGTTGTCACGTCGATATTCCAGAAGAAGGTTGTGATAACACTACTAGGGAATAAAGTTCATCTTCAATGGGGAACCATGAGTAAATCCTTCTTGAGGAGACCAAGTATTTACATTGCAAAATAAATGCACTCTCCATCTAGGTTTCACAGCCTAGAGATATTCATAGGGTATCGTTCACAAGAGACACAACTCAATCCAGGAATAAACTGGAGAGAAAACAGTCAAACAAGACTCCACCCAATGAGGAAATAACTCAAATGGGGATTTATCCTATCCAGAGATGGAAAAGGAAAGCTAAAGCAAGATTCTTCCACGAGAGTTAACTCAGTGGGGAATTAGAAAGAAGGCACACTTTATGCTTAAGTCGACACTCTATTTGGAAAGATCAAATACGCTATTTGAATAGACACAACCAAGGTATACGAACTCAATGACATCAACAAATACAACTGTGCGTGCATGATGCAAGTGTGAATGAATAAATGAACGCCATGTATGTGCTGACAAAACAAATAGACAAGATAAACTGGAGATGATAAGACATCATAGCACAACCCAACACTCGGCTAATCTCAACAGGATGGGAACATTACTGGAGATAAAACACAGGCCACCATTGGAACAAGGTCCTTTTACAAGGCTTAAATATCTCTGGAGAGGAAGATATTTTCAGGTAGAAAACCCAAAGTCCAGTCTTCTATTGCAAACAATCCATTGAAAGGATAACAACACAAACAATGTTTCAGCTGGAAAGAAGTCTTGCTTAGCTGGAGATACTGGGAACACCACCCTCTGATAATGTATGAAAAACATATCTTGACAAATCTGGATTGCTCCTGGGATTAATTTTGGATGCCCCAAGTTTACTGCTGATAAGCTGCGTGATGCACGACAATTCTTGCGAATAGCTTTACCTCTAAAATGCCCCGAGCTATATGGTTGATGAGAAGAAATCGTCTTAAGAGGATTTTACAAAAGACCTGGCATCCACCGGACTCTGGTGTCTTCAAACTCTTAGAGAGATTCAATAAGTCTCGACGTGATTGCCCCGAATTGACTGTAGTTGGCACAACAAAGTCTTCAAATTTTGCCCCAAAAGGGTAAACAAGTTGGAGAAGCTTTAACTGGAAGAAGCAATATGTTCGAGCTTACGGTCTTCAGGTGACATGCCCCTGGATATGATTTTTTTTCTTGAAATGATTCGCCAATTACTCAACATAGTTTCAAGCCTTAAAAGAATAAACTCATCACTGGTGCTTATGTGAGCTTCCTTGATATCAAACAAATGTTTTGCAGTTAGAAAAAGTTTACAATGAGAATGAAAATTCTGATGCAACAGTTATGTAAGTCTTGAAGATTTTGAAAGATATCGCACAAATTTTGCGAGCTAAAGCACCATTTATTTTTGTATAGGAAAAACATATGATACCAACATAACTATTTAGAACGTTCATGGGAGTCAGGAACACTATCTCATTAAAGTATGCTTTCAAAATAACCTTGCTTCAATTAGGACTTTTGAAGGTTGTAACGTGGTCTGGTTCATGGTTTTTTAGAAAAAATATTTTATGGCTCAAAATATTTGGTGCCCACCCATTCTTCATGATGTTCTCCAACCCTATGTTCAGTTAATTCAACATGAGTGTTCATCTCTCAAAAGAATTTTGTGACGGTCAAGGAAACGACGAGGCTTTCGGAGTAGAAACCACCCTCATGTCTTCGTGTTTGTAGTCACCAATTTGTTCTTTGTTGAGGACTTTTCTTTGTAGTCCTTTTCTTTGCAATTTTTATTTTCCCTAGCTTTTGCCTGAACTAATTCTTTTGAATTGATAGTCCAGCGGGATGCCTTAATTTTGCCTAAGTCACACATTTTCATGTTTTTTTTTTGACTTAGCAGGCTTTTCTTTTTCTTGATTTTTTG